TAAGGCAATAACCCAACTTGCTTGGCCCAATTGTTATTGTTGTATATAATAACAAAAAGAAAAAATTGCTAGGTTTAATCCACAAAAAAAAACTCACATCAGATAAAACATCCATCGTTTCTTATGGTTTCTGCCTAGATTTCTCAACAAGTGATGACCTCTCAAGCGTGCTCAAAGCTTTAGTGTATCTTTGTAAAGGCAGAAGACTACATAACTGGTAAACATAGAAACAATCTTCCCAACATTAGCGGGAAAAGAGCTTTACAGCAAAGGAACAACACTAGGATTCAAATAATAGTTACCTCATCTGGGAAATATGTTGGCCGCTTTGGTTTTCCCACATTTATACAAGGAAGATCACCAGAGTATTGCAGCTCTATGCCACATTTCTTTACGAAGGAATCAAAAATAGTGATCTCTTTAGAGTCACCATTACCATTTTTATGTTTCAGTGTGAATCTACAAAAGCAAGATACAACACTAGAGACCAACTAGACTCAACTGGATTATAATCTTTGTACTCGCCAATATTCAATGAATCAAAGTTGTTGTCTTCTTCAGAGTTCATATCAAACTCATCATCACTCTCACCATTTACAAATTGAGCATCAGATTGCAACTCATCATCATCCATGGCTATATAACAAAAAATAATAAAGTTTAATCAGCTAGTGTTTTCTTAAAAAATATGCATGCCTACCATTCAGTAACTCACATGAGTGAGCTCTTTTACTTTAGTTCATTACTACTCGTACTAGGTCGGCATACACCGTAACAGAATAAACAAAAGCTTTCAAGCATGATATTAGAATCAGGTATGACCAAACTATTGTTGCATGTATGAAGTAATTGCATATATAGGCAAATCAGTGATATAGGAGCAGGACAAGTTAGAATCACCGAGATTACATAGTTACAAGATTACATAGGAAACTAATATATAGTTACAAGAATTTGTTTGGTGCAATAACAACATGGAAAAAACAGATAACAGATAAAATTCAGGATCCAAATTCCTTATAGAATTCACAGACTATATCAAAGTCAAGAAAATGGCGCACAGCCAAAAATCCATGTAAAAAAATCATGAGTATGTAGCAGTAGAACTGATGCTCAAGCTCAGCCAGGAAACCAAGGCATGGATCATGGATGGATGGTCCAACAATGACCATACATGTGCTCACCAAATCATCAGTATGTTACAGAGATAGTATTAATAGTTTAGCTTCACATTGCACTCTTAGTTTTCACCAACATAATCAGTGCCATCTTCCTCTCACATGAACTAGACTGGAAGTATGCTAACTGTGACAAGTACTAGTTACTGCTGTGATAGGAATAGAACTTGAAAACAGGCGGAACCTAGCCTCAAAAAGGAGACATTTCAGATGTTAGTGACCCTAAGAAGCAGAATAGTTGAATTATTTTTCAGAAATGCTCTTATTTTTAGACTACAGTCAATGTCACTCAAATGGCCGAAAAATTATTAGCTAAAGTAATTGCAATTTGGATACATAATTAGACAGAAACCAATTTCAATCCACCCAAGATCAGCAAAGGAAAAACATATATAATTAGATAGAAACCAATTTCAATCCACCCAACTGACAAATTGACAGTTGACATTGCAGATTTATCAGATCTATCTAACATTATACTGAAGAATCCATATGCATAAATCATATAATGATCAATCGAGTTTGGTTATTAGTATTGTGACTATATGACTATATATAATTATATATCATTTGATCATATACATGAAAATTACAATTATAGTCAACAAGCCCAGTCAAATAAATATTGTCAACTGTCAGATTACCATGAAACTACCATTAAATATTTAAATCACAATGGTAACTGAACTTCACCTCAACAAGCTGATATCAGAAAAGTAGGAACCACCAAAATGGACCAAGCAATTAAAACTTTAAATGATAGGTGCTCACTATTTTGTGTGTTTCATGATGGATTGTCCTATTTTGTAGTTTGCAAGAAATGTTTGAAAGAGCATTGCAGCGATTAAACTGATATTTACCTGACAATCTGAAGATTATAAATTTTTCATTTCCAAAGATAATGCTAAGAAAAATAGGTAAAACATTGATCTTCTAAGTATAAAGCATTCAACAGTCTAATCCAAAACTTTGCATGATAGTAGCTAGCTTTATACTTATCCATATGGTGCTGGTAGCTTTCAATTTATCACAATCAACTACTTATAACATTGATGAACCAGGTTGGATCTCAGTGCTATACAGCTATGCTATTTCAGAAATGTCCAAATTACAGAGCTGATTATATATACTTACACTCATTTCAGACTGTAGAATACAATTGGAGACCATATTCGTAAACAAGTATCAAGAAGCTATATGGAATACCTCCATTCTTCTAATACCAAAGTTGAAATACAAGTATCAGTTTGATTACAACACATATTTGTGTTTTTATCCCCTATTCTAATTACACATACATGGCAGTACACTGCAAATTAAAACACCTCTGCCTATAAAATGGAGTGACAAGCATCTCCTAGCAATGGAGTGACAAGACTCACTTATGAAATAAAAACAAATTTACAGAATCAGAGCTTCTGTAAATTTACAAAATCAGAGCTTCTGTAACAGAATCAGAGCTTAATTAATGAAATAATACATGGAGAATTTAATCAACTCCTAGTAGACAATAACAGATACAAGAAGAACAACTTTCTTTTGCATAAAGAGTGAATATAGCATGTTAATGTCGTCATATGCGTTTAAGTCCTATAGTTTCATTAGTTCAGGAAAAATAATTACCTTCCCCACTGTTAAGCCTATTTGCCGATAGGTTCTATCTATCTATGCCAGAATTATTGGATGCAAACCTGCAGTTATCAGGTAGAGGCATATTAGCTCCTACAACATTAGTAGGAAACACCAATATCTGCCTAGGTGAAAGGTTGCAACATTCAGTGCTCTCATCACAAACTGAATTCAACATCCAGTCAAAATGTTCAGTGAACTCTAGATGCACGCCATCACCTGCCCTGCTGCTCGGCTGCCCCTACATCTGAAGCCTGGCTTCTCAAGCTACTATTCCTAGCCTCATACAAAAGACCAGAAGCACTGGCGGGCTCTCCGTATGGCTTAGTAGCTGCCCTCATTGATTGATCTTACAAGTTACAACAACAACAACCACATATCAGATATGCCTCTATGTGTTTCCTGCTATGAGGAAGAACATGATAGAATAGAAAGACATAACAAATCAAAGGAAATAATGCATACTATAGGTGTTCCTTCGACACGGCGGCAGAGTTCGTCGAAACCAGACAAACCGCCGCTGCAGCTCGCCCTGCGCGCTCTCATTGTCCCGACACTGCAGCTCACCCCGTGTGCCGCTATAGCTCGCCCCGCGCACTCTTGCCGTCCCGATGCTGCAGCTCACCCCACGCGCCGCTGCAGCTCGCCTTGCGCACTGTCGCTTTCATGCCGCTACAGCTCACCCCGCGCGCTCTCATCGTCCCACAGCCGCAGAGCCACTCACCGTTCCGTCGCTGCAGCGCGCTCTTGCCGTCCCGCCGCAATGCCCCACACGCATCGCTGGGCCTCAGGAAACAGAGGAACGCAGATCTAGAATCGGTGGGCAAGGAGGACGAGAGCAACGACGAACTCAAGGGAGAAAGCGGGGAACTCACGTACCTCCATAACTCGAGCAATGGCAGACGAGATGGAGGCGACGCGCATAGACGGAGAGGGTGTGGCTCGCCACGACACCGAGACAATCGCCGGCCGCCAAGACGAACCCCTTTCCCCTCTCGCCGGGACAATGGGGGAAGTGAGACAGCCAGAAACCGACAGGCGCGACTTCCAATTTGAAGCAGTAACGCCAAAGCGGGCCCCGCACGTCAGCGTCCACAAAGCAAACCAACACCAAATCGGAACAGACTAGACATCGATTCTTCATCCAACGGACACAAAATTCGTATGCTAACAAACAACAAAACATATGTATGTCCTATAACATTTCTGGATGAAAAACCTCTTCGCTGGGCCTGCTCTCCAGCTGGCCAAACCGGTCATGCAGCCCAGGCCACCGAGCGCGCTCTCCTGGGGTGCTTGCGCGCCGCTGGCTGGTCGAAAACTAGTTCACTGCCTGCTAGGATCGGTGTTAGCCTGCTGTGAAGTGTCCGAAATGGACCTGAAACCACAAACGAAAAAGAGTCGACGATGTAATAGAGTTTTTGATGCATTCAACAGATAATCATGCTTAGCGAAATGGTTCTTTTTGTAAACTATTAAAAAAAGGTTTTGATCGGGATGGAACTGGTCTGGTGAGAGCTGCTTCCGAGTGGTATTGAAAAGTCATTCGAGGCGAAGTCCCTTTCGTGTAGGCTAGAGCGGAATGTCGATGCTGACGGTGTCTGGAGCCTTCGGTGGTTAGTCTCTGCTAGCCGAAAAGTCGATATTGTTTTTGATGCTCTGAAGGTATATGTGTAAATTCGTCGATTGTGCGAACGCTTGAGCAGGCAAATTGGTTAGCGGAAGGAATTTAAAGAATTGCAAGTTTCCGGGTTAAGAATGCAGTCTGAATTACTTCTGCTTTTTATTTTTGCACATTTTGCGAAAACTTTGGGAATGTTAGATGAGCTATCAGTTCACTTATCTTTCCGGAGCCAAGCCACGCGAACCCTATTTCCATGTCTCTGAATGCTGATCTTTCATCGCGTTTAAGCGCGTGCCCGACTCATTCATGCCGACCTGCGTTGACGAGGCTGCTCCTCCATTCGCAGCCTGAGATTCGAATCGGGTGGCCACTTCGTTGTCGGACGGAGAGCGCGGGGGCGGTGAAATCAGTGAATTGGAAACTTGCGGATTCATCCGTCGAACTTGTGCGTCTCGAGCATCTCACCGATGGAAGTGAGGGCGTGGCGGAGATCAGTGATAGAGACAGTGCCGGAGATGTTCTTGTCGAGGACGCGGACAGCGTCGCCTTGCAGAGCGGGCATCGAAAGGCTAGGGCTTGAGGTGGGCGCGCGTGAGCCTGAGGAAGCGCGGAGAGTCGAAGGGCGCCGTGAGCTTCTCCTGCGCGGCGAAATCCCAGAGGTGCACCTGCATGGGGTTCCCACCGGGTGAGCGCATGAGGAAGCCCAGCTCGGGGGGCGTGATGTGGCCGTCCCGGTCGACGTCGAACAGCGAGAAGGCCTCCTGCCTCCAGGCGATCTGGTCCTCTGTCAGGTCCATGTCGCCCATCGCCGCCGCCAGGGTTGTGGGATTGGGGTGGGGGTCGGAGATCTCGCCGCTTGATTTGGCCGCTCTCCGAACCAACTAGAAGCTGAGATGTGATTTCGTCGCTGCGAAAGGCAAGTTCGAACCGCGCAGTAGCTTGGTGCGATGCTATGAAGGCAGGAAACAAGGCTCCCGTCTCGTGTGCCAAATCAAGTGCCTGGTACTAGCCACGCGAAGTGCTGGCTGTGTGAAATAGTGTTCGCTCCTCTCACCTTTTTTCTCAAAATTCTGCTCTCTCGTGAAAATAAATCGTGCCGAGCACGGTGGGCGTTGGTTAGCCAACAAAAATAAAAGGAAAAATAGAGAAAGAGCAAATGAGAGAGTGAAGAGCAAAGTGATCAGCCTTCTCTCCTCCCCCTCTCGAAGGTTCTCTTTTATGCCCCTCGGTCGGTTTGCATTTACAGAAACGCCACTAAAGGCTACAAATAGACCTAGGAGAGTTTGTATTTACAAAAATGCCACTAAATACTACAAACGGCCCCTAAATATTACTTTGTGAGCCCTGAAGCTATGTAATTGGGCTATGAATATGATGGTGGGAGTTCCCAACATTATGACAACTCCAACAATTATCCCTGAGGTGAAACACCCTAAACCTTGGTTCATTTGTGCAAGGACAGAGAACATCGGACTGTCCGACTGACTTAACAGACCATCTGATAAGATGGCAGAGACAGTAGATTGAGTGGAAAGTGAGCTGTTGTCCACTATGGGACATGGCCCACATGTCAGCACGAAATGGATGCTTATGCCAACAACTAAGCCTCAGCTCCACTCACTACCCTCTCATTCCCTTCACTCACTCTCTCTCTCTCTCTCTAGAATGGAGAGCAAGAAAGAGGAAAGGATGAACTAGAGTGAGAAAGTGAATGAGAAGAAGATGAAGATGAGGTTCAAGTCTACAAAGGGCAGCAAGATCAACTCTAGATAAAGGCCTTGAGCTCTATCAATCTCTCATCCCATGGTTAGCTCAAGAACTCTCTCTCGTCTCATTGTTTTGAGATCAATCCTCAAACCCTAATCTAAGTTTATCCCTTTGCATGGATGGATCATGAAGATTAGTTGGAGCCTATCATCTCAAGGGTAAGAATCAAGTTTGTTGCAACTCAATCATCTTAAGAGTTACCCCTAAGATATTCTCACATTTGGATTTCTTGGATATATTGCATAAGATGGTGGAATCTCTCTAGCTTGGAAACAAGGATGTCAAGAGTTGGATCTATAATCCTGGTGATAAGGAACTCACCAAAATCCCAAGCTAAGTTGTCATGCCCAATCTTAAGTTCCCAATCTTTTTAGGTTCTTTTTGAGTAAGCCTAAGGGAATCACTAGTTGCACTAGCTAGATCAAGTCAAAACCCTAAGTATCCTAAACCTAGCAAGCTACCCAAGTCATCATAGGAATATCTTGCACATGCATGGAAGCCTGAACCCTGCATTTAAGCTTGAATCCCTAAGCCTTCACCCAAGAACACAAGAACATAGGTTCTGTCATTGTTGCCGGTAGTTAACACCCATCATAAACCGTCAATATAACTTGTATAAATGCATGAATATGATCACCAACATAGGTTTAGGGGTTTAAACTAATAAATTCTACGAATTTTAGTGAATCTATGTTTTCAGTAAGGTTTATCAAGAAAACCATCAAGGTGGACCCCAACGACAAAATTATCACGCTTATCCGCGATGAAACCAACTCTAGAAGACTCTAGAAGACACCAGAAGGCAAACCACCAAAGTAGAAAGCAAGACACTGCTAGGCCCCACCTGTAGGCTGGCCGCCCCTTGGGCCCACATGTCATCCTCCCTTTGCTACGTTGGTTCTCCACCGCCTTAAGGATTGCATCTACGCCGTTGCTTTAAGTCGGTTTAATTCGAGGGCCTAGGATTGATGGTTCCCCCTATATAAATACCAGCCCCTACCCCCCTAGGCATCATTGATCATAATCTTCCTCCATCATCAAGAGAAGAACCTCAGAGCTCCACAAATATTCTAGGGCATAGCTAGCTAGGTTAGATCTAGAGGGAGGCAAGCCATCTGTTAGGATTCCTGATCTTGTCAAGAGCATGGCTTGGTATAGCCCTTATATCCTCTATTTTATCTTTCATATTTATGTGTTTGCTACAGTTGATATGACATTGTTCGTAATATTATTCATATTCCTAGTTATCATGTTCATCGTCTACTTTGATTATATGCTTAGTAGCACGCCTGCACGGGGTGGGGGTTGTCGCTAATTTTCCACTGCGAGGCCCCTAGGAGCACACATAGCAACTCCTCTTTAGGATCTTTGCGTTGAGTTACACACTCATTCCTGATGCAAGGCATATGGAACAACTTGATCAGTTACACACTTAAGTCTCCATCACTTAAGTTGAAACATTATTGACGATAACATAAGATTAAGACAAGAAACTACTACTAACACTACCATTCTATTTAACTACTGCCTTCTATCTAGGTTACATCTCATTTCATTCTTCTACTGATCGGAATACACACAGCTCATCTTGGAGAACTTCCAAGGTCTACTAACCGTCGCACTCGTCGGAGATAGTCTCGGAGGAAAGCCTTAACAGCCTGCAAAACAACTTAACGACAACTCCGTGAGTACATTTCGTACTCGCAGGACTTAATTCCCACACATTGGTATTTGGTGGATGCACAGGTGATTTATCAGGCATTTGTATATTTGCCAAAAAGCAACGGCGTTGGTTAAGAGTATGACATGCTATGTTCCAACACTAGAATGAAAGTAGCCATTTGTCATATATAAATCAAGATACTCATATTCCATCGATACACTACCATGGGTATAGAAATTAGGAACAACCGAATGATTTCGTCTTGAAGGACTTCAGGCTTTCAAATTCTACAGAGGTGTACAACTGAACCCACACGGAGACCGGGACGAACCACCATACCTGTGCCTGAGTAAGGGTTGCCTCATGTTCCCCAACCTTTCCCTAATCCAGCCCGAGTGTCCGACAAAAGGTTCAACTGGTGCCTGGTCAATGTCCCGAACACTCCCAACCGACGCCACCCCTTGCCAGTTTCACAGATATAACCGGTCGCAATTAGTTACTTGGCTTGTTGACCCCATCCGCGACATGTGGTCTGTATAGGTGGTTACTCAGACTCACGTATCCCAATAAACGGTCCTTAACTGCTCCATGAGCTATGTCGTTTGAGATCCCACACTCACAACGACCTACCCCTCGCACGAGCGAAGTTACCAAAGGCAGTATTCAAGTTCATCACTTTTAGTGATATTATTCCTTAGCCATGTAACCGAACTATCCAATTTATAAGAGCACAAGAACAATAGCAACCACCGAGGCAGTCAAATCATCACACTTGAGCCCATATAAATCCGGTAGTCCATCGAGTATCATGAAGGATCTTGAATCAACCAACATACAAGCCAAGATCATACATGATTCAACATACAAGCCACATGTTATAAGAAGTTCACAAGTAGTTGTCATACATCAGAGTTCCAACTTAGTTGTTACAACATCAGTTTAGCAGTAGCGGAAGCAACATAGTTCAGAATGACATCAACAATAGTTTAGATACATAGCCAGTTTTCATAGTCATCTCCAACAAAAGCACAAGGGTGAGATGATATATAGGATCACCATGCCCATGGTCCTATTCCTCATCCACTACAGGAGCAAAGCAGTGCTTGCAGTAGCTGTGGTACATAACATTATATATAACAATGGGAATAAAACCCTGAGTACAAGAAGGTACTCAGCTAGACTTATCCATCATCAACTAAAATGCTAAGACACCAAGGAGTATGCAAAGCTTTATAAGTAGAGCTGGTAGACATTATTTGCATAAAAAGCATTAGTTGTCCAATATCTTTTAAACTGTGAATCACTAGTTATTAATCCTACCTCGTACAAGATTAGCAACTATCCTATACCAAACATGTTGGTACCATTAAGTCAATACAATAATAACCATATCAAGTTGAGCTCTTTCATAACCTCATAACCAACACTTCCATCAATTACTACGATAAAGCGTACTCCTGTCAAGTTCTCACTATTTGGGAGAGACAGCGATTCGAATCGATTCCAACCCAGCTGAGAATTATTCCTAACACACACCCATACTTCCCCCGTCGGAGTCGCATCAGGTCACCTTTAGTACAACTCAAGTCCAAATCACGGGTAAGACCAGTGCCACACCCTCAAAGCTACTACCAATCTGCCAGGAAGCTCAGGACTCGAACCCGCCCTTGGACTCATGCCATTGTCTCTCCGCACATCCTTACTGCCTCTAGGGTGCGTACTTTAACTGCTCGTGTCCCCGGCCTGAGTTGAGCTACTTGGCTTTGTGGTCAGAATGACTTATCCAGCCAGCTATGTGAGAGGCATGCGTTCAACATGACAAGATGACCTCCAATGATCGGTCCTTAAACGACACAGATGGAATCACCATGATTACCAACAACATAAGACTCCACCAGTCTCCAATTAATCAACAACACCAAGTTATGTTCCACGATAGCACAATATAGCCAACCGTGATCAAGTTATCACCTATGGCTCATAGGTGATAGGAAATCACCCGACTTCTACCGGTCTAAGCATAGCTAAGCATAAGGAGAGTTCTTAGACTTAAATAGGATTCAGGGTAGATATTTCTAGACAAGGAAGGGTAATATGCAGCAAGTGTTCCCAAACAACTCCTATCATGTAATGCATCAATACGAGTAACTTAGGTGACATCATTAAAATGGGGAGACTTATAATGCTCCGGGGCTTGCCTTTCACGAACGTGGCAGGTTGATGATCCGAGCACTCGGGAAGATGATCAGCTTTAGGCTCTGTAACACCCTAGGTGTTTAGGCTTCCACTAAATTGCATGTCATTTCATAACCATGTGCATTATCTATGTCATCATGTCATTATCACTGAAACATACATATGCAACATTTTAAATTG